TTGCCCCGTGGTCTGGGGCGGGCGGGGTGCTTGCGGCAGGCCCTGTGGCTGCGGTGGGTCGTGTGGAGGAAGCTTCCGGGCTCCACGGTTCCCTCACCTGCTTGGAGAAGGCTCGACTAGTGGCAGGCCTCCGCCACATGGTCCCTGCCAAGCAGAAGAGGCAGGGGAGCGGCCGTCAGGTACAGGGGCCGGCTGCAGCCCCCGGAGCATTTTCAAAAGGGAGCCCCGAGTGTCCTTGGGGGGTGGGGCAACTGGAGAGGAGAAAGAAAAAGGCAGCGAGGACAAAGAGGGAGGCAGAAAGCCGGAAGGATAATTTTTCTAAAATGCTATGGGGGAAGATAAGGAAATTGGACAAGGTTGAAAAAGAGATCAGGAGAGATTCTGCAGCAGGGACTGGAAGAACCAAGGAGAACTAGTTGGAGGGAAGGTGTGCAGCTACAAGGAGGCCCTTCCCGAAGCACCTGTGATGGCGGCCAAAGAACAGAGGAGCAGGTGGAAGCCCCTCCCCCACGCCGGGCATGGCCGAGGGGGGCTCCCTGCCAAGCAGAATCCTTGCGGCGGAACCGTCCATGCCGCGCGGGGCCCCATGCGCAGCACGGCGTCCAGGGAGAAGAGCCCTTAGGCTTAGGAAGGCATCACTGCATTCTCCAAGAGCGGAAGACGGCAGCAGAGACGCCACACTGAACCCGACCAGCGTTCCAAGCCCAACCAGGGGCCTTTAGGAAGCCCGTCAGTCCAATGTGAGGGTAGCAATCCTCACTCTTACTGCTGTACAAAGACAAACTTACAGCGATTATTACATCCAGGGGCATAAAATGTCATACTTTAACTAGCAAAGAAGCACTTCCGGAGTCTTCTACCCATCAGCTTCATGGATGATCCTGAGTTCTGGTATTATGAGAGGAAAAACGTTGTCTTCCAATCCACCTTCTCCACACCACACCTAATTTTCTACTCCTCTATCATAGCTCCTTGCTTGGTTCTTTCTAAGCTAAGCAAGTCCAGTTGTTCTAACCATTCCTCAGCGGAGAACTGCTCCACTGCCTCGATCCTTCACTTGCATTTTTCTGCAACTTTTCCAAGTCTACGATGTCCCTTTTTAAGAGCAGTGATCGGAACCGTACGCAGGATTCCCAGCAGGGTGACACGATCTATTTGTACGAGGGTGGCACAATGATCAGCTCTTCCATTTTCACTTCTTTTCCTAATGTGGAATCTGCCATTTTCCCAGCAGCCACACATTGGGTTAGAATTGTCATCGCGCTGTCCACCCCTCCCCAAAGACCTCCTTCTTAGGCACCACTAGCTCAGAGCCCGTGAGTATATATGTGGCACTTCCGCTTCTGCCCCAAAGTGCGCCACTCGGCACTTCCTTGCCCTGAAATGCGTTTGCCACTGTGACGCCCATTCCTGCAGTCTGGCGAGGTCCTTTCGGGGCTCCTCCCAGGCCCTCTTTGTTCCACCCACTGTAAATAATCCTGTGCCATCACATCCTAATAGTGATCCTTATGAGAGCTCTTCTCAGCTCGCACCTTATGCAAGAACTACTCTCTTCTTTTGCATCTTTAACCAGTGACCAATTCATAGAAGGACCTCTCCTCTTACTCAGTGACACCAAAGTTTTCCCAAGAATCTATGGGAAGGGGCTTCTGGAATCACTGCAGAAGCCCAGGGAGACCATGTTCCTTATGCGGTCCAGGATAGATACCACTCAGGCGGGATGATTTGCTAGCTTTTAATTTGCCAGTTGCATCAGGAACTACATGTCTTGTAGCCACAATTTGCTTCAGTTCCTCAGACTCCCTAGCCGAAAACACAATCCAGACTAAGGATCTACCTACATCTTCAGCAGTGAAGGCAGCTGAAGAGATTACGGATGGACAGAGTGAATTCCTCTAGTCTTCCCTTTGTCAGCCAATTGCCTAAGTGCCTTGCTAGCTGATTTCCTGCTTCTGATGTATCTGCAGCTCTTTCTCATTTGCTTTGATCGTGGCAACACTCTCCTCAAAATGCTTTTTTAAAAATGAATGTACGCGCGCCTGCCTGCATTTCCTTCATGCCAACTCTGTGTTGCATTTTCTTTTCATTTGGGCACAGTTCTGCTTTTCTGAAGGAGACTCGCTTTTCTCTAATAACTACCTTGACACCGCTCATTAATGGCACGGGTAGCTGCTCGGACTTGATACTATCCATCACCTCAAAATATTCTTGATTAATTTAACCCTCTCTGCTTTCCAGCAGTCTCTCATTTCGGAGAGGTTTCCTCTTTTGAAGTTGAATGCGATTGCGCCAGATTCCTCCGGCCATTCCCCCCTTAAATATGCCTGAAGGCCTGCTGTCGCTCTTTCCGGCCATTCAGACAACCATCACATTTCACACCAAGTCCTGGATAACCAGCGTTTGTCCAGAGCCACCTCTTGCTGGTTGGGTCCAAAGTCAAATCTTCCAGGCACTTTCCCCGGGGGACCAGGGCTATCACAACTGGAACAATTCAACACACAGTATTCCCCAGGAAAAGCTGGCGCCACGTCCAACGACCCGCAAGCCGCGTCCGGCTCTCATGATGGCAGCGCGGCTTCCCCTGCTTCCTGCTGCAGCCTGCTCTGCTCTCCCACGCACTCCGGAGTCTCCTGAGGCAGATCCGCGGTGGGCAAAGGGGGTGTGATTCGCCAGCTGTGTCCTTTCCTCTGACAGGAAAGCTCTGCTGGACACAAGTTTTCACATTTTTCCAGGACTGAGCACCATCTTAGCTTTCAAGCACCCTCCTCTTTATAAAGAATATGCCACACAAGAAATGTGTCGCTCCTGTCGTCGCTGCACCTCACTGCAAATGGATTCATGGCAACGAGGACCCAGCACTCCGAGATCTGCTCACTTAGCCACTGGCCCGAGCTGAAGCGCTCGCAGATGACAGCCACGCCGCCTCGTTCTCAGCCTGCCAAGTGCCAAGCAGAAGGCCCCTCCAGTGCGCGCTGTCTCCCAAATGGAATCCTTCCCATATAAATGCCACATTCATTAATACTAGTTGGTACAATAGTAACAACTGGACACGATGAACCAATTCAAACTTTCAGAAACATGTCTCACAACTCAACTCCTTAAACTTGCTTAGTCCAATGGACTACTGCACGCAGGAAGTTTCAATTTTTGGAACGTTACAGTATTATTTTAGCTTGAACTAAACCACAAATATGTTAAAAAGTTTATATAAAATTTACCATTCTAAATATCTGGAGTTCTGTAGTCATCCTATCTTCCTCCCAACATGACTGACTCTTTTTCTTTGCTGATATACTTTGGTGAGACCAAGTACTTGGGACATTTGCATATTCCTCCACCAAACAAACAAGCTCAAACTATTATGAAGTGCGACAGCCACAGTTGCTTTCCCCATTGATGTCAAATCTTTCAAAAACCATATTCATGAATGCTTAAAGAGCCAGATATTAGAACCACCAAAAATGGTTGTTTTTTTCAATTTCTCACAAATAGAAATGCCAGCCAAAATGGCTTTGTCTCCTTGAAACGCCGAAAATCACAGAGAATTTATAATTAAGTCTCTTCACAGGACAAAAAGCCACAGTGCAATGCCAACCGGAGACAACCAAGTCAGTCTCAGGTTCTGCGTAGCAGTAACTGTCTGAAGTAATCCTGAGCAGAGTAACCGCAGACCAAATGGACAGCTGAATTTTTCCACCGATATTAGGTTCAGTGTCAGATAGCCCTGGAAATAACACACTTACACTTGAAGTTTAGATTATAAACTAGAAATAGCAACAACTTGTCTCACTTGTAACACAAAGGAAAATGTAAAACAAACACCCTCACTGTATTCAACAAAGACAACAGCGAGTCTCCCTTGCTTCTCAGTGATCCTTGGAAAGATCCCAACTTCGTCAGAGTTGCAACCCCAGACATGTGGTGACAGGGAAAAGTCCTACAATGCCCAGCATCCCCCAGCCAGCACGCTGGACTCTTCCTGTTTTGACATGCACAAGACCATCTGTGAAAGGGCTTTGTGATGCAAACCTATCCTATTCTTCTCAGCTGCATCACAAACCAGGAGCAATCTTGAGGACAGGGCAGCTGGCTGAACCTCACAGGATTTCATCGGTCACAGAACCCAGCACCGGTCGGTCGCAGCAGAAACTTGCAGCTCAAACAGCTCCTGCTGTGCTTTCAAAAGTTATGGCAAGAGCACCGGATTAGCAAGCACGAAGAGAGCAGGGTAAGTTTGTCCTGTCTGGTTGAGCTGACCAGTCCTGGAAGTAAGCAGCTTTCTCACCAGGAAGCCAGTGTGGAACCAAAGCTAGATTCTACAATGTGCAATGGCTTCTACCCCCCCCCCCCCCCCGACCTGCTTCCGGTTGGGCCTGCACCAGGAGCTGCTGCTGAGAGCCCTACCCTGCCTGCAAAAAACCACTCCTTCCCTGACGACCAAAGAGTGAGGCCAGGCAGTCTCAAAACCCTCTGCAAGAATGGTGTACCAGTCCAGTCCCACTCATCTTCAGCACATACGGAGTCTGAAGCAGGATCACACCACTTGCAATTAGGGGAAGTAGCTAAGACCAGTGTACAGGAATGAAGCCGGAGACCTGGCAGCACCGTCTTTGCTTAACCAGAAGGCCCACCAAGGCTTAGGCTAGGCTTTTCCTCTTTCGGCCTAACCCCAGCGAAAGGAAAACCGGGCTTCTGTTCAGACTGTCCTCAACACTTCAAAAGGCAGGCGAGGATGCTGAAGAGACCTTACGTGTGTGCGCGCGCACACGCACACCACGAAGAACTCCTATTTGTTCCTCCGCCTCTAATTCAGCATTATGCTCACAGTTCCCTTTGCTCCCATGATTTTCATGGAATACACTGCTCTGCCTCAACCTTGCCATCGATTCCACATCTGGAGCGCCTGCCGGTTCCATTTCGATTCAACTTCACATTCACCTCCATTTGCAGGCAATGTGGAGCGCTGCTCCAGTAAGACTTACAGATATCGACAGCAACAATAATGGACTATGAAGTCTTTATGGTCAGCTCTAGAACACAAATCTTTAAATCTATCCTTGCAGTCAAATCTTGAAATCAGTTCTAAATTCGGTTTCACCTGGGCAACATTCATAACTAACAGAGTCAAAACTAGAAGTTAAAATGACAAACTGATGCATCCGAAGGCCAAGTTTCACGGGTCAGTGTGTTGGCCATTTCAAAGGGCCAAAGCTAAGAGGATGCTGAGCATTTCTCTGCCTGTGGAACTGGTTTTCCTCTCATCTACTTCTTCTCCATCAGTTTCTTCCAGTTTCTCAGGTCTCGGCAGACAGTAGCCCTTTCAGAGAGCCATGTTCTGAATTTCCCCCAGTCTGTTGCTTTATGGGAAATTAGCAGGCTCCTGCAATGTGACTTCCACCCAAGTACAGAGCGTGGGCAGCTTGAGCCTGCAAGGGAGAAGTCGCACGCAGATTCTTACTCCAGAGCAAAACCCACTGGGGAGTCCTGCTACTTCGGTCTAACCGGCCTCAGAGCAGCTGTGAGCATACAAGGTTTTCTCCCCGGTTCACTTGTTTCCCCATCTCCTCTCCCAAACTAGTCCCCCACCCCCGGCCCGGCCCGGCCCGGCCCAGGTGGGGGAGGGCATCAAGCATTGTTCACTGAGCACAAAGTCGCTGGCCCGAAAAAAGCGGCAAAGGTTCCTGGTCACACCGGCAGCGGAGGCTGCCATGGCAAAGCCAGGAGTCGGCCAGAAACAGGCCCGGGGGCGTGCGCGGTTGCCCGCAGGTCAAAGCAGGTTTTCCCAGGTGGGTCTTACCTCTCATCCTCGCCATCCACCAGCTGCGCGGTCAGCGGGAGTGCCTTCAGGGGCAGGAGGGAAGGGGCCACGCTGAGGCCGCCCGAAGATGCTCCGGCACCGCTTTCGCTCCCGGCCGACGGGGGCAGGCTGATCACGGTGGGCTCTGTCGCACGCCTGGCGTCTTCGCCCCGGGCCGAGGCTGGCTGGGCCAGGGCCTGCATGGAGAGCGGGGCAGAGTTCGGCAGGCCCTGCTGGGCCACGCTCGGGGCGGCCGTCGGGGCCGGCTGGGGCGCGCTCTGGACCAAGCTCCCGTTCTGCGCTCCGGATGAGGGCGCTGTGCTCTTGGAGGGGGCCAGGCTCATCGGAGCGGGGGGCACGCTGGCAGCAGAATGTCCGGGGACGGGGGCAGCGCTCACAGCAGGCACGGGGCTGACAGGGGGCAGCTGCTGGCCAGCCATGGCCTGGACGAGGGGTTCTGCCGCTTGGCCGGGCAGCAAGGAGCTCTGCGGCACAATCGCCAGGGGCTGCGGGAGGCCGGCTGCCCCGCTCGGGGGCCCCGGGGGGACCATCCCCGGGGCCGTGGGGGGCGCCCCCTGGGAGGGGGATGGGCCAGCGCTCTGCACCATCACCGGAGGGGCCAATGGGCCTGGCGTGGGGGGCGGCTGCCCCATGGGAGCGGCACCTCCTTGCTGGCCCATGCTCAGCACCGCCGTGCCGGGCGCCACGGCCGCGAGGGGCAGGGAGGGGGCCGCCACCAGCTGTGCCTGTACGGAAGGCTGCATGCTCTGCCCTTGGGTCACGTGCCCCGGCTCACCGCCCCCCGCCCCGGTGGGGCCCGTCGCCAGCGCAGCCGGCCCATGAAGCGTTGGCGGCAGGCAGTCCGGCCCCGGCCCCGTGACGGAGCTCTGGCCGACGGGCTTGGCGTGCCCCGGGGCCGTCGGCCCGGGGCCCTGCTGCGAGGGGGCCACTGCGTGCTGCCCCTGCCCTGGCCCGTACGGCAAGGCCTGCGGCGGCACTGGGGCCATCTGCACGGGTGGCGGCGGCACTGGGGCGAAGGGCAGCTGTGGGGGCAGCACAGTCGCCAGGCCCGGTGCCGGGGGGCCCGCGCCCAGGCTCACCGGCGGAGGAACGGCAGAGGCGGCAGCCTGGGCTCCCGGCTTCTGCGAAGGGTAGCCGGCCTCCTGCAGGTGCAGCGGGCCTTGTGCTAGCTGCGGCTGAGAAATGCTCTGGGGCACGCCCGGGGCCGGGGCCGGCAGAGGCCCGGCGGCACCCGGATCCATCTGCGGGGGCCCCAGGGCGGGCGCTGCCCCCTCCCCGCTTCCCGCACTCTCCGCATAGTGGCTCGGGGTGCTGATGCTGCTGCTCACGGAGCTCCCGCTGTTGCTCTCCCTCTCGGATACGGGCTCGTGGGGGGCCTGCTTCAGCGCGTCCACGGCTCTGTTCACTGCCACGCCGTCTGTCGGCACGGCCGGGGGATCCTTGTCGTAGAACTCGGTGCAGGTCCACCTGCCCTTCCGGAACGGCTCCGAACTGCAGTCCAGCTTCACAACCCTGAACCTAGAGGTGCCGGCCGTGGGCTGCAGGTGGCTCGAAGGCGCTGCCACGGCCGCGTTGCCAGCACTGCTGGCCAGCCCGGAGGATGCTCCTGTGCCGCTCCCGAGCCCACCGAGGGCTCCGGTGCCACTGCCCATTCCCGGCAGGGGGGCTGGCCCAGCCGTGCCCGGGATGCTCCCCAGGGTTTTGGCGGCATGGCCGGCAGGGCCACTCCCCACGCCGCTCGCCGCAACGCCCCGGGCAGAGGGGACCCCAGGGGCGCTGCTAACAGGGCGGAAGGGCGGTGCGGCAGAGGAGGGCCCGGCGGGGACGGCAGCGAGGCTGTCGGGGCTGCCAGGGGCGGAGAGCCTGCGGAAGGACGGGCTGGCCGGGGGCCCGGCGTGGGGGGCGTGGTGCTGGCCATGGTAGTGGGGGTGGAAGGGATGTCCGTGGGGCGGGTGGAAGCCGCCGTTGACCGCGGCGCCTGGCGGCTGGGCGGGGTGCGGCCCGGGAGGGTGCTGCGGGGGCGGCAGGGGCCGGGGCTGGTTGGGGGAGACGGCCCCCGGGCTCTCGGCCTCCTGGAAGTTGCTCAGCGTCTCCTCGGAGGAGCTGCGCTCGGGCTCGCCCAGGTCCGTGGCCCGCGACAGGGAGGCGTCCAGGATCTCGGAGGAGGAGAGGTCCTCGGTGTGCGACTCGTCCAGGTCGTCGTAGCTCTCCGTGTCCTCGGCCACGCTGTTGTTGGAGCTCAGGCTGGCCGAGATCTGCGCGGGGGTCACGCTGGTGATCTGGAAGCCGCTCTTCTTCTTCCTCTGCGCGCCCGCCGGGCCCAGGGGCTGCGGCGGCGCCGGCGGCTGGGCGAGGAAGGCCAGGCTCTGCGGCGGAGGGGGCGGCGGCTGCGGCCCGGGCGCCGCGCAGGATGCTGCGGCAGGCGGCGCGGGCTGCAGCAGCGCGCCGGGCGGGTAGTCCTCGCCGCCGCCC